GGTCTCTGCACCACAGCCAGGGACAGGAAGTGAAGTCCAGACAGGGCCGGTGAAGACCAGGGCAGGGGAGGCCCTCAGAGGCGTGTGTCTCTGCTTTTCTCCCTCACTGTGCTCCATTTCCCGTCACTGCAGCTGGGCTTCCTCGGCCCCCCCATGGCTTCTCTGCCACCCCGGAAATGGTGGCTTCTGTGTGGCGCTTGGCTTGCCATGGTGCCCATTCCAGCCCTAACCAGATAGCAAGAACCTTCTTTTTCAGGTTCTGCAGAAGATGGACTTAACGGGGCCAGACCCCATCTGATTGGCCCATTTGAGTCAGGGGATTATTATCCCTGGACCAATCAGATGTGGCCTAGGTCTGAAGTCCCTTGGTACAAACTTGGCCGCCCAGAACTGTGGGTATAAAGAGCATCTTTACTTGGGAAAAGTGTGGGCAGGGAGGCAGTGGTTAACATCTCTGGGTGGCGTAAATAAAGTGCTATATATAAGGCAAGGCATTATATTTGCAGTCGTGGCTCTGCCTTTCACCGCCTGGGTGACCTAGAGGCAGGCACAGCCCCTCACTCTTATCATCAATAATCTGGGGAGACAGGACTAGATAATCCCCAAGGCTCCTTCCTGCTCCGACACTCAAACCATCCCTGAGCGATGCACGGTCAGGCCTGGCCTCCGTGTTCAGGAGCTGCCTCCAGGCGCCCCTCCCACGCCTTCCTCAGGCCCTCCAATCCCCCTGGGGAGGGGCTCCCGAAGTTCTCCCCCCGCCCAGCCCCTCTGCAGCAGCCATGAACTAATCAACAGAGACGGTCTCTTTCTGAATTTTAAAATGCCCATTTGTTTAAGTTCATGATAAAGAGATTGATTGGCTGTTTTTAATACCCCCCTTTAAATAGAACTCATCTCGCGCTGCTTGTGATGGTATTTTATTACCATAATAATAATTGCAACGGCCATTTATTGAGTATTGCTCAATATTGCCAAGTGCCTGGCTCAGTGAGAAGTTTTTTTTTCCCCCCCACACCTTGTCTCGCGTAATTCTTTCTCACAACCCTGGGGGTAGGTACTGTTAACAGCTCCATTTTTACATTTTCCTTTACACAGGGAAACTGAGGCTGAAAGAGTAAGCTCAGCACCAGGGGAGCTCAGCATACGCTTGAGGTCTCCAGCCAGTACGTAGAAAGGCTCAGACTCAAACTTAGGGAGTCTGACTCAGAGGCCATGCTCTGAGCCACCAAGTTCTACTGCCTGCAGTATACTCAGAAGCCCAGATACACCTGACCCCATAGAGGAAATCTGCTTACGTGGAAGGTGTAGACCTTTAAAGGGACACATCTGCACATTTGCATGAAGCAGCAGCTGGGTGCTTGGAAAAGCCCCCCAGTGTAGGTGCTGATGAGTGCCGCGCCCCCTTATCCCCGATCGAGCATGGCACCCAGGACCTGAAATGCAGGAAGTCAGCATTCTTTTCTCTCCAATGGCTTGTCCCTTCTAAGTATATGAATGGCTCTTTGCCAGGCCCATTTAAAACCTTTTCTAAGTTATGCAGAAATTAAATGGGTTTTCACTGCAGGGCATGAAACATAATCTAAGGAGGTCAGACACAGGACAATTCCTTCTTTTTCCCCTTTCTCCCTGTCTTCTTGGATCTTGCTTTTAAATCGTCTGATCAGTTGCCCAGAGAGCCTTTGCCCCAGACCATGAGGTATGCATGGGTGAAATGTCCCCTCCTCCCCGAGGCAGGGGGCTGGAGGGCTGACATTCTCCCCGGAGCCATCCCTCTCCTCTGGGCACTGGCTCCTTGTGGGATGTGCTCTGACATGCTTTTGAGCTGCCTCCCGGGGGACTGGCTGCTCTGAAATTGGGACATGTCCTTCCCTCTCGTGGCAGAAACCCCAGGCCCTACTGGAATGTTTTGTTCTGGAGTGTGGGGCTGACACCCGTGTTCACGTGTGATGTGCATATAGGATCTAGACAGGCCAGGGGGAAGCAGGAGAACTGTAGTTTAGCTGAGAGACTTGTAAAGATCTCCTCAAGACCAGTGCCATCGTGGCAGCTCATTGGGGCGGGGGCTGGCTCCACTGAGCCCAGCACCAGGGGAGCTCAGACTTCGGGGCTCTGCACCTGGGGGCCCAGGGTGTGTATCTGCAGAGTGCCTGCACCCATCAAGGCCCCCAGGAAACAGTTCATCTCAGTTCCAACAAAAGCATTTCAGTGAAGAGACCCTGACAGAGGGTGGGCAGGGCTACGGGACATTAAGGGATATTGAGGCACTTGGGAGCAGCGGCAGCCCCTAGGGCTGAAGGGGGAAGAGGAGAGGATGGTGGGGCTTAGGGAGCCCACTGAAGGCTGCAGCCAAGGAGCAGGGGCTGCTGGCTTGGAGCTGGAAGGAGTGGAAAAGTAATACCCAAACTCTCCTCCTGACTCTTTCCCAAACTCTGAGCTCCTACTAGCACCTTCCCTGGGCAGAAGCCAGCCTGCAAGGAAACCTGGGGCTGGATGCAATCCACTGAGGTCTCCCTAGGGTGGGGAGGGGGAGACAGAGCAGGGTACTCAGTGATATGGGGGGGTGCAAACAGGGAATGCCCAGCACAGTATTATCATTAATATTCATAGTGCTTCTTGACACCTGCCTGCCTTCTCCTCGAAGGCATTCTTGTCGGCAGTCCTCCAGAAGGCACAAGATGAAACGTTACAACTGCCCATTTCTGAGCATTTATTATATGTTGGGGAGTTTGCACTCAGGAGCTCGTGTTCTCTTCACCCTAACCCTATGGGATATTATTAACTTAAGCGGACAGAGAAGGGATTAAGGATCAGAGAGACTAAGTAACCCAAAGACACACAGCAAGGCTGGGGTTCCGACAGAGTCTGTCGATTCCTGAAATCCTGGCACTTGTCCGCCCTGCCCCCTTGCACACTTGATTCTCTTCTGGAGGGAAAGAGAGCATCTGTTTTCCAAGCCACCGAGCTGAGGAGAGAAGGCCTAGCAAAGGAAAAGGAGGTTCAGAAGCCCCAAGGTGCGAGGCAGCCTGCTGGGTTTGAGAAGTACAAATAGCTCTACCTACCAGAAAATATTAAACCAGTACTAATAGACGCTACACATGATCTTAGCCAAGAGGCCAAGAAGGGATGCCTGCCGGGAAATAAAGTGTGAAGGAGGAGACAGGGCCAGACCATGTGGGCCTGTGTTCGATGCAAGGGGCACTGGGGAGTCATGGATGGTGTGGAGGAGAGGGGCCTCCTGTCCTCTGTGTCAATGGGAAGATAGATTAGGAGCCCGTCCCTTCAGCCCGGCACTTGCCTAGTGATGGGGGCGAGTCAGCACACTCAGAAAGAAACAGAGGCAGCTCCATAGCCTTGTTCTCCAGAGGCCCTTTCCAGGCCGACAGGGGGGTCTTATAAAGAATACCCTTGCCTCAAGCAGATGATCCCGGGACAGGGCTGCCAGCATGCCCCAGGGACAGAAGCTGCTCAAAGCAATGACACAGGGCCCAGGTCATGGCCAGCAGCAGAGGGAGAAGGCAGCAGTGTGGGGAGCCCTCCTTAAAAGGAGCCCTACAGATGTCCAAAGGGACCCAATCATCATCCCAGTGGGAATAAACACACGGCCAGGAATATTATCTGTGCCGTGATAGTCCCATGCTGCTGGCTGGGAAGTAATACCCCTGGGGGCAGTTGAGCTCAGCACCAGACAGAGGACGTAGGGAAAGAACTGCCATCAGCGTTTTAGAGAAGTATTCGGTACAGAGCATAAGATCAGTCACTTAGAATTAGCCAGCCCTGAACTCCAGGTCCTCTTCTCCCACTGCCTAGCTGTGTGACCTGGGCAAGTTACTTAACCTCTCTGAGGCTTAGCTTCCTTTTCAAAGGACACTCAGTCAGCGGGAGCAGGGATTGTTTGTACCCTTTATCTCTGTGAAGAGCCTCATCGGATTGCCTATCTCCTGGTGTGCCGAGAGCCTGCTAAATTATGAATAAATCCCCTCACCCAGTGTTCCACAGGCACGGCTTCCATGTCGGGCACTGTGGTGGGCGCTGCGGTGATGAGAGCCAGCAGTTGGGCAGAGATGCGCACAGAGCCTGAGCATGCGCTGAGGGCTCTCAGTGACTTCAGAAAGGCTATGGCTGGACCACCTGCCGCATGCCAGGCACGGTGCTAGGCTAGGCAGCTGGAGCCCTGTGGCTTCCGTGGGGCACCCGTGCTGTGAGGGAAGACAGCACTGACCAAGGAATTACAGAAGGTAGGCGGATGATGAAAATCCCCTGGGCGAGGTGGGAACCTTAGTATAAACAGCGGTGGGCAGTGGGGACATGGCAGAGGCTGACCTGCCTTAGGGGTCGGGAAGGCTCCCTGAGGAAGTTACATTTAACCAGAGACCCCAAGTCAGAAAAGAGCAGGGGTCTATACACAGAGTGTAGCAGAGGGAATCATGGTAGGCTCCCAGGTGGTGGTACCATTCAAGTGGCTCTTGTGGGCCTCTTGTGGCAGTCTGCCGTGGCCCAGGGATGGCATATGGATGCCCTACCCCAGGGCAATCCAAGGAACCTCTGTGGGGCCAGGCAAAGCCCTCAAGGCCCCCCGCCACCTGCCTGTGGCACACACCTCTCAGCTCCCCGCCCGTGAGGCCTCCCGACACGCAGACTCCCAGGGGCCCCCCAGAGCAGCCCCGGGCCTGAGGCATGGGCAGCCAGGGGCACTCCGCAGAGGAAGTGACACCGCCAAGAAACGGGTTTGGGGACCAAAAGGCCCTCATCCAGAACGCCAGGATGAGCAGATCATCTTTAGAACTGGTGCTGTTAGAGCCACCAGGAGGCCATCAAAAAAGGGGAAAAAAAATAGATACTGCATTTTAAATTCCTCTGAACCCTCTTAGAATAAAAATGACAAAGCCGCAGGTCTGGTTGGCTGGAGGGACGTGGTTAATGGGCTTTGGGGGAATAGTCACTGACAAAGTCAGCTGCTCCGAGCACCGCTCACCCTTTTGTTTGCTTTGCTTCACCCCCAGAACACGCCGGTGGGGACGCCCATCTTCATCGTGAACGCCACGGACCCCGACCTGGGTGCGGGGGGCAGCGTCCTCTACTCCTTCCAGCCCTCCTCCCCATTCTTTGCCATCGACAGCGCCCGTGGCATTGTCACAGTGGTCCGGGAGCTGGACTACGAGACCACGCAGGCCTACCAGCTCACGGTCAACGCCACGGTGAGTCCCGCCCCGGAGGTCTGCCTCCTCCCGCCCTGGGAGAGAGCAACAGGACACCAGCATCCTTCCCTGCTGGTCCAGGCTCTATAATAACGATGCTGGCGATAGTCACAGTAAGAACGGGAGCGGTACTGTGCCGAGCACTCAGATGGATCGTCTCCATTAAACCCCATGGCAGCCCTATCTCCTATGTAATATTAAGTTACTCATTCTACAGATGAGGAAACTGAGGCCCAGGAGTAATTCAGGTCATTGCCCGTGGTGACCCAGCGGCTGCACTCCAGAGCCTGCTCTGGAACCCTGCAGGACGTTCACGGTGTGGGGTGTCCCCTCGCTCTCTGGAAGCTCAGACAGAGGTGGCAGCCCAGCAGTGTCCTGACACCACCCTACATGCAGGCGACAGAGGGTCCGGGCATCCTGGCCACTGCTCCCGGGTGGTGACGCTTACACAGGAGGGCCCTCCCATGCGCACCAAGCACCGTGGTGGGTCCTGGGAATGCCGGGATTAGTCAGGCTGGAGAGGGAGGAGAGAGAGGGGAATAATTGTCCCATTTTATGGCTGACACCGTTGGGACTCACACACCGATGAGTCGTGGAGAGCAAGAACACAAACCCAGTTTGTCTGACAGCAGTCCGATGCCCCGTGGCCAGGAGTTTCTGAGTTTCCAGATCATCACAGCCGCTTGGCTTCCGTGGCCTGCTGTTCGCAGGGGCCTGGGGGACAGGCAGGCCACACCCCGAGCAGGCTCCCAGCCCGGCACTCCTCTCCTGCGGGCTCCTGCCTCTGTCTCCAGGTACAGCTGGAGCCTTCAGCAGGCAGCAGGGCGAGAGCCTGCCTCTTGTCCCTAAGATTTCTGTTCACAAAGCTCAGGCCAAGAGTGAAACAAGTTATAGGAATCCCTCTTGACCCGTCAGGACCCATTTGCCTAACCCCCAGGATCCCTGCTGGCCCCATGTCACGGCTGCACTGGGGGCTCAGACCTGCACTGCCGGTCACAGAGCCCAGACCCTGGGGTAAGACACATGGACTAGGCCAAGGGTCCGGTTTGAAAGATGGGGTTTCCCCGGGCTTGTGCAAGGTGTAGAGAGTCCCCAGGAGCCAGGAAATGCACGCTTTTCCTGGGGAGGCCACTGCGGGTGCCATTCATTCTTTCCTTCTCCCCTGGTTAAGTGTGGGTTGCCCGGGAGGTCGTCTGTCCTGCTCTTCGTAAACCTGACTTCTGGGATCAAGGGGGTGTGTAAGACCGGAACCCGCTCTCTGCATGCACCTGTGCCCTTGCGCGCTGCCTCGCACCCACACACAGCCGTGGTGCCCCTCCAGCTGCCCTCCATTTGCACACGCCGGGGCCCAGAAACACACAGGTGCTTGCTCTCTTTCTTGCTATGCACCTATCCCTATGGAGTAATTTCCATCTTCCCTGAAAATGGTTTTGGGCGGGCGGGGAAGAGACCAGAGCCGGGCGCAGGCAAGAACCTGGGTGGCCGGACCTGTCAAGAGGCCTGGGCTCCAGCTGAGATGGTGAATACAGTTAAATTGCTGTTAATCTTGCTGGCGAGCAGGCCTGGAAGCTGCGGAACAGGACGGGCCCTTCTGTGCGGATGGCTCCCCCACCTGAAGCGCAACCGCCCTCAAGCCTGGTGCTGTGCCCTTGGCTGCTGGACATTTCCCCAAGGAGATTCTCCTGTGGGGCGTCGCAGGGAGCAATGTGGGCTCCCAGCCACCCCTGGGTGGGCAGCAGGTGGGGAAATGGGAGGACTTCCCGGGGAGCGGCTGCTCAGAGTGCTAGCTGGGAGCCTGGCGAGGTGCCTGCCCAGCCAGGTGTGTCCACTGCCATCCCCTTTCCCCAGCCCCGGAGTCTGAGGTAGGCTGGATGGGGGGATCTGTGGCAGGAGCAGGGCTGTGGCCCCGAGGCTGTGGGACAGGGAGGGCAGGTGCCAGGCTGGACAAAGCCACCTACACACAAAGCCTGGTAATGGCAAATGAGAACCACTGGCCTCCGCTGCTCAAAAGGTCAAGGGACTTCTGTTCCTCCTACTCTGGCCCTGTCTGCCTGGTTGTTCAGGTCCCCGACTGAGAGCTCTCACACCAGGGGCAGTCCCCAAACCTGGGCCGTGGGTTTCCATTGTCTTGGAGCCCGAGAGGCTGTCTCCCCAGTGGACCCTCCGCCCAGCTCTTCCTGTGTCCAGACCTCCTCCACCCTGCTGCACCCAGTCCTCAGCCCCAAAGTCCCTCGCCCTCTCCGTGGCTGCCCCTGAGGACTCTTAGGACAACCTTCCTTCCCTTCCCAAAGGCTCTGCTGCACTTCTGTATCTGGAGGGCAGGAGCAGGCTCTAGGCTTATTGTAATGGGAGGAATGCTTTGCATCGCTCCGGTCCCCCCAGACCAAGGAAGACCTAATCAGAGCGCAGTCACTCCTCAAATCCCAGACCAGAGAATTTACAGGCCCAAGGGTCCATGGAGGTCCTTGCATTGAGCCCCTTCATCTCACAGAGAAGGAAATTGAGACCCCAAGAGGGAAGAGAATCTATTCGAAGCAACCCAGCAAGTCAGGGCCTGAGCTGATGTTAGGGCCCCAAATCAAAGCAGTTAGGGCAGTTTTTCATTGCAGAAGGATCTGAGTTGAGTCCTGGCTACACACTTACCAGCTGTTTGACTCTGGGCAAGTTGTCTCTGTGAGTCTCATCTCTGAGTAACCTCTCTGAGTCTCCGTTAATATATCTGAGTAATGGGCACGTGGTATCCACAGAAGCAAACAAGGTGCAGCACCGTGCCTGCTACGTAATCCGCTCTCAGCATGGAGTCTGTTCCCATGGGTTATTGTCATTCAATAACAGAGGGCTATTTAAACAGTTTATCATGGTGGGCTGTGTATGTTAGGGCTATAGAAGCTGTGTTTCTGGTTTCCTTTCTTGATGAGCTTTCCTAAGGCTAAATTTCCAACTGACTAGGAGGGTTTAAACATTGCCTGCCTGGCCACAGGGGGATGGCCCACATGACCTCTCAGGATTTCTTCCTGGAGTCCCTCAAATGTCACAGGCCCTGGAGCTCCCCCTGCTGGTTCTGCCAGAAAACTTGCTTGACCAGTAAACCTTGGGGGCAGGGCGGGGGTCCAGGTCTCAGAGTGGCCCTCTCTGCTGTCAGAGGGCCTTTCTTCTGAGGAACACCCATCCTGGTCATTCCCTTGCTGCCCCGAGCTGAGAGGGGGCAGGAAGTTGGTATGGCGAGGGCCAGTGGCCCTCTGTCTGAATCAAGAGAAGCTGCTAAGGACAGCACCATCTCTTGACCCCAAGCCAGTCATCCCACCCATGGCATGTCCCAGGTGATCAGGCCGAGGCTGGGCTGGGGGCAGGAGATCTGGCTCTATCCAACCCTGCTTTGTGACATTGGACAAGCCACCTTCTGCCGGGCCTGGAGGGCCCTGTTTATGTTTTCCTGCACAGGTCAAAGATCACTGTGGGTTCTTCAAGTTCTCGAACTTCTGTGTACTAATGCTCTTCCCACAGGAGTCCCGGAGCACTTGCATCCATGGGCACACATGTTTGTGCACATGGGTGTCATATATGTTCAGATGTGTGTGTATGTGTGTGTGCGCTTGTGCGCGCGTGTGCGTGTCAACAGTGTCACCCCCTAAGGCTGTGTATTCTTTGTCCTCTAAGGATCAAGACAAGACCCGGCCTCTGTCCACCCTGGCCAACTTAGCCATCATCATCACAGATGTCCAGGACATGGACCCCATCTTCATCAACCTGCCTTACAGCACTAACATCTATGAGCATTCTCCTCCGGTAAGACATTCCCTGGCCCTCGTGGGACTTCCGTCTGAGCTTCTCTTAGGGATGGGGGCCCTGTTTGGCCGGACAGGCTCTTCCTTGGCGTTTCTTACTCTCCTCAATCCCTATGCATGTCAGTGTTGGGTGTCTTAGCCCAGTGAAAGCCCAACCCCCTCTTCATACCACACCACCACGCCCCATGTCCTCACCCTCTGACTACACCCCCGGAGGGCTCCAAGGGGTAAAAACACAAAGACTTCCTAGTATAAACTAAGGGGGGCAGTTCAGAAAGATTGATGTGGGGTGAGAGAGACGCCTGTGGAACCCACCTGGTCTGGAGAGCAGACTTGGACTCAGCCAGGCTTACCAAATCATATTTGGGCTCAGCCACATTCCCCATAGGTCAGTCTGCCTCTCTCAGCCAACCAGCACTGCCCAAGATGGCAGCACTTTGCTCTCCACTCCCCAGTCCTCTCAGGCGTGGCTCTTCTCGGAGAGCACACAGCTCCAGTTGCCCCTCTAACTGCTCCATCTTTGGATTTCTCAAGTCCCACGTTTTTAAAAGAGGCATCTGATTGGTTGTGCTCCTGATTTTGTGCCATGTCACAAGGTCACAGATCTCCAGCCAGGCTATAAATTGGCTGCCCTTGGGCCCTGTGTCTGCCTCTGGTCCAGTCTTTAAGACCAGGGTTCTTAAAGAACCAAACATGCTGCTGCCCACTTGGCAGGGGCTGGGGGTGGGCAGCTTTGCTCACCCAGCCCTGGTCTGGTAGCCATCCATGCTTCTGTACAAACTAGAATAAAGCACACACACACTGTGCTGCTAAATTAAGAAAAGCTGGCTCCTCTGGGCAGCTACAACCCCCTGGACATGCAGCTTGGGGGGACGCTCTTACAGAAAGAAAAACGTGCCCTTCCTTTTGAGGGAACTCAGTGTGCTTACAGGAAGGACGCACAACATTGAGAGCCAAGTAGGGCACCCGCCTGAACATGTGGGTGTTAGGGGCCCCACCTGCACGGGCTCACAGAATTAGGTATGAGTAAGAGGCAGGCTTCCCTTGGCCAGGGTGCAGACTGTACCTGTAGGCCACCACAGGTCAGGGAAGGCCGACCTCCAGTTGGGAGACTGTGGTCCATCCTGACCATGGCATCCTCAAAGCATGCTGCTTCCGTCTCCAGGTGTCTGGAGGTAGCCACTTCCTTATCGGGGCCAGGTGTGGGCTGGAAGATCTAACAAGCAAGATGCCCTTTGGTCTCCTGTTGCAGGTGTCTGAAGCTGAATTTAGGGTAGAGGGGGACATCTCGATGCCCCCTACCCTAATGTGCTCTTTCTTAGTGGTCCATGGACAGCAGGTCCTCTGGCTTTTGAGACTAAAGGCTATCTCCTTCAAAAATCTCTTTGCTACGCCCACATCTTCTCAGCCCAGGGAGGCCTTCCCTGACCTTTCAGAGGAGGTGGGCCCTTCCAACTGCCCCTGGCCTCTGGACATCCCCTTCTTAGCACTCAGCACCTTTGGACAGCTTGCTCAGCCTCTGTTTCCCTGCTGGACCGGACGCATAGTTCAGCAGGGACAGGGTCTGCTGTGGGCATAGCACATCAGGGGTGCTAAGGATGTGTTTGTGGAATGAATGAATGAATGAATGAATGAATGAATGAA